TTCGCTATGATAATATAGAGCTGAATGATATTCGGTGAGATAGGCAGTAGAGAAATTTTCCCAAGCAGGCAGGGCGCGTTTCAATCGACACTTACTGAGACACAATGTTTAAAGGATTTTAAGGTCAATGGACATAATTTGATAAACGAGTTTCATAACTTTAAAATGCTATAACATTGCATAAACTAACGCTCACTGTAGATATAAATGTTTTCTGAAAGAGAAAAAACGACGTGTAGAAGAAAATCAATGATAAGCCTAAGTAAAGAGCTACTACTACCGTCTGTATCTTTCTCATACACTCGAGAGCAATGAATCCGGGTTAATTAAAAATATTTAATACTAGCTTATTGAAATAAACTGTGTTTAATAGACAATTAAATACTCTTTATGTTTTTATTTTTATAAGCATTTAACTGCTATTTGTTTATATCTAAAGAAAAGTTTTACTAGAAAAAAAGTTGCATGCAGTATGAAGAGATGGCGCTGCCTTGCAGCTTAAGGCTAGTCCTCCTTGTGAAGATTCTGGTGCATTCTTCAGGTGCAAGCGACATGATTACAGCTTGAATAATTAATATTGAACACTATCGACATGGTTTATATGAATGATAAATGACAGATTAGAAACAAAAGCAAAAACAAATGCAGTGATTGCGTAATTCTATTTTCGATAGTCTCCCTTTTTCAAATTTGATTTTTTTATGATGTAACTTTACAATAACTTAGAGGTTTTAATATCTTCATTTAAGGAGTATTTAATCGTCTATTAATAAGAATTTATTTCATTAAGCTAGCATTCTTAATTTGCGAGATTTTTAGGATTCTTTAAGTGACCCGGATTCATTGCCCTCGAGTGTATGTTATACATCGACCCTCGAATCGAAAAGTTAATATATATTATATGGTTTTGATGCATACGTATAGGAAGACCCGTCTTGCTATTGCCTAAGCCGCTTCTAAAACTTTGTACTTTGTCTTTCTTACGCGGCATACAAAGAATTTTCAATGCCCCGTTCCTCAATCAAACATTCCCTTGACATTTATTTGCTTTTGTTTTAGGAGGTTTTATTCTCGTAAATGTATTTCTTCGTCTTCATGAGAGATTTATTGAATAAAAGTAATTCGACTTCAGTGTCTTTTATTTGCTCACTCTCTTTTGAGAAGTGTTCTTGTTTGTAAAGGATGTTTGCTCTGAGGATAAATACTCTGCTAGCGGGTTATTTGTATAACCGACGGAAATTTAAGGTAGCTTAAGTTTACTAACTTTCCTGTAATACCTCTGCTGTTTTTGGAACTACCGGATTCATTTCATACTTAAGCAATAATTTTATTACGTACTGTAAAGTATACGAATTTAATATATATTATCACTTTTCATCACAACCATATCAGGGTCGGCAGATTATCAAAAATGTAAGACCATGATAAAGAATAGGAAAGAATACGTACTAGTAATATTATGAATGCGAAAGTGTGTCTGTTTGTTACCTCTTTACGCTAAACCGCTGAAACTGTTTATATGTTTAGATCTAGTTTGAGTCCCAGAAAGAACATAGTATAGTTTTTATCCCGGAAATCATCCTTAAAGTCGATGAAAAGGGCGGTGAAAATTTGTAAGGAAAACAATTTTTTCCACGCACACAAAGTCGCGGGCACCCACTAGTTACTTATATATTATATAAGAATATTTCTCGCACCTCTTAGATGCCATGACAAGCTTTTACTTGATGATATGGATAGGTTGTAGCATCGCGCGATCTACATCTTGGCAATCTCCGGTAAATACTTCGTAGTGCAGTATGTACTTAGCATAGCGTCATTTATCATCATCATACCTCCTCCATTTCTTTTAGAACCGGTGTGCGTGAACATGTGTGCGGTTCTATTTACCGAATTTCTGTGTTCATTCAATGAAAACAGAGCATTTGAGCAACTGATTTGTTTGTAACATTATAAAAAAAATGCCAGTACACTTTTTCCCTTCTTTCTACAACCCGGGGTTTTCTGAAATAAGTGAAAAGAAGCTTACAGGCCGGCAAAGTGAGGGTGCTGATAACACAGGCATTGGAGTCATTTGCTCATAATTTAAAAAAAATATAGATGATACTTTACAAGCTGACCCGGCGTACTTTGTAAAGTTGATATACACACACTATAATAATGAGTTGCCGCATTTACGGAGCTGTTGTTTTTTGACAGCGCGGTATCTAGACGAGTGAAGCGAGACCAATCATTCATCTATTAGACCAAGAGCTACTGAACCTTACGAGTAACGGTCTGTCTGTATGGCTAGAAATTTTTATGGTGAAGAGTCATAGAATGCTTAGTACGGCAAGCATCGCCTGGCACTCCTCAGCCCTGCACGTCATCAAGCCGTATATTTTTGAAAGTGTCAAAAAATATTTAAAAAAAACTTGTTGCTGTAAGCTTGAAATTTTTATACAATTTAGTTTATTCATTATTAAGTTTAAAAAAAAATGCCAGGCGTTTACGATGAGCTCAAGTACCTGCCAGGCGAACCGGAAGGTGTGTAATATATACATAAAAATAAACTTTATTCTGTAAAGTTGAAATTTATATATGTGTTTATTTAAGCGATTTAAAGTAAGTAGGTAGAATGCCAGGCGGTTCTGGCTAGCACAAGTCCTTGCCAGGCGAGGGGAAAGATGCTGCGGCAGTGCGAGTAAGAGTCGTATGAAAACTCACATAACTTAAAACTGCTCATAATATGAAATTAATTACCATTAATTAATATATATTTAGTAGTGTGCATGTTTCTGTGAAGTAACCGATTTGAAAAAGTGCAACTCGTTACTTAGATGAAACCTAATAAAGAATATGTAAGTTCATAAAAATATACCCGCCAATGATGCTGGTACATTGGATGAAGTCGATGTTTTGTTCTGGCAATATTTTTTCATTACAGCAAGAAAGTTTTTGTAACACTTCACATAATAACCTGTATTATCATGAACTTTCTCTGGCAAAGAAATGTCATTAAATTTTAAATTATGTTGTTTTTTAATTTTTAATATTCTTTTGCTTTTGTCTAAAGTACTTGTTGTAAATTTTACTGTTTTGTCATCAATATCTTGTTTGTAAATCACACAAACAACGTTTGAAGATTCCATTTTACTCACTATTTACTTAAAAATGATTAATCGTTGGCACAACTGACGTACACAAGAATAATTGCACAATTAATATTAATATTTAATTGAAATTTAAATCATTACAATACTTCACAATATAAAATAGTAAAATTCTGCGTAAGATTTTACATAGATAAATCGTTGTTACCTGTGACGGTTTTTTTAGGTATAGGACCTATTTTCCAGTTAGATAAACTGTCTCAATCGCACCACCGAGTTCACGTTGAGCCGCTTACTCGCACTTCCATAGCATCTTTCCCCTCACGGGGCAAGGACTTGTGCTAGCCAGAACCGCCTGTCATTCTACCTACTTCCTTTAAATCGCAAATAAAATTATAATAAAACTTTACGTAGTTAAACTAAATGCAAATAATATGAATTAATAGTAAAAAACATTTTATAAACAAACTTTTATTTAAATTCGCTAAAAAGAATAAACTGCTGAGAATGAGTCAAGTGACGCTGAAGAACGCTTTATAGGTAATACACATTTCATAAAGATAAAAATATATGAAATTCTATATAATTGAGCGCAAGGTCAGAGATGTAATGTTATGTTTAATGTATTAAAACTTTGTTTCTTTTTAGATGATGAAATCAGGAACTAAGAATCCTATTATGACGATGAAGAAAGTGTTGATGATGAAGATTTATTATATAATTTAAAGACTTATAATAATAAAACATATTTTACCCATAACTTTTATTTTCACATCATTTAATTTGCATGAATAATAAATATACCGTAAGTTTTCATACTACGACTCTTACTTGCACTGCTGCAGCATCTTTCCCCTCGCCTCGCAAGGACTTGTGCTAGCCAGAACCGCCTGGTATTCTACCTACTTACTTTAAATCGCTTAAATAAACACATATATAAATTTCAACTTTACAGAATAAAGTTTATTTTTATGTATATATTACACACCTTCCGGTTCGCCTGGCGGGTACTTGTGCTCATCGTAAATGCCTGGCAATTTTTTTTAAACTTAAAAATGAATAAACTAAATTGTATAAAAATTTCAAGCTTGCTGCTACAAGTTTTTTTTTAATATTTTTTTGACACTTTCAAAAATATACGGTTTGATGACGTGCAGGGCTGAGGAGTGCCAGGCGATGCTTGCCGTACTAAGCATGCTATGACTCATCACCATGAGAATTTCTAGCCTTACAGACAGACCGTTACTCGGAGGGTTCAGTAGCTCTCCTACTATATGACTTAAACATATAATTTTGACGACCTCCGTGGCCAAGTGGTTTGTACGCCGGGTTTCAAGGTGTCGACATGAGAGGTCCCGGATTCGAATCCCGGTGGGGGCAGATGTTTGTGTGATGAATATGAGAATTTGTACTCCAGTCATGAATGTTCAATATGTATTTCTATATAGATATACTAATATTTGTATTCTATCCGTTACCCTAGTATCCCATAACACAAGCCTTACAGTGCTTACTTTGGGGCTAGGCTAATTGGTGTGAGTGTTTGAAATATTTATTTATTTATAATATAGGTTTGTAATTATGCATAAAGGACATATATGACCTTGTATATAGAGCGTGGTGGTCAAGCAAGTTTAGTGTTTTTTTGTCATTACAAAAGTGCCCAACTTACCTAAATAAATTGTCACTTCTTGGAACAATTTATCGTCGTACGTAACATCTGGACTCTAAAGTATTTTCTTTTATTTACCTAGTTGCAATAAAATTTGAATTGTCGAGACTGGTCTTCGCAGTCTCCGAGCTCTAATGTTCTATCACAGAATAAATGGAATTGAAAAGGACAATACTGAGTCGGTAGACGGATTATTTAAAAAAAATGAGTCTTAATTTGATAACTTTTTTTTTCAGATGAAAATGGCGTCTACTTGGAATAAAATAGCATTGTTGCTGTTGCTGGGATTATTATGCCACGTCCTTAGTGCCCCAGCTGGTGATAACACGGGTAAGTTGAAGATCTTAATACATTATATTATACTTATTATATTTAGGAGTTACGTGTTAAACGGTTCTGCTATAAGTCCTGATATTAGGTAACATTTTCTTAGTACAAACTTATTTGCTACCTTCAATTCTTATAACCAGCTATCAAAGACATACAAGAATGTATACAATACTTACTTTTCTGTACGTGTATTCATTACCATAGTAATACGACAAAGGTTAGGGATTAGGTGCCTATAAATTTCGAATGCGCGTACCTGGAAAATTCGGATAGAAGCCCATTTATTGGAAAAGATGCCTTTGCAACCGTAAAACCCTCACACTCGAATACATTCTCCCTAAGATAAGAATAGATTTAAGAAAATTGATTTCGGCAAACTATATTTTATAATTTATATCTTAACTAGTGGCCCGCCCTCGCTTCGCTTCGGTGTAGAGCTGAAGTGTAGACTATAGTTTTTGTTTTCAGGCTTGTATTATACACAATGACATTCTTCATATACCTAATTACAAAGGGCACGCGCCGCCAGGTCTCTCGCCCGGTAGCGTCGGAACCGCTATGTCCCTGCATTTTAAAATCTGTAATATCTTCGAAAATATTCATTGAAATTACATGCTTTAAGGGCCAAATTGATCTGTATTAAATACACAATGTATTTAAGGTACTTAATTGGTTAAGGATGAATGTTATATTGCTGAAAATAGCTTCGTTAATAAGCTATTATTTCTCGTAAAAAGTATAGAATAAAAATGGTTATTGTGGGTTATCCCTAAGAGATATACATATACCATCGTGGACTTTTTTGTAAACCTTTTTAAGGTGTACAATACTATAGTACATTATTTTGATCTATCTCTCAAATATAGGGTTCAGCAAAAAATGTGTTTATTTACGACCTTACATTAAAAACCTCTAAAATTATCAGTGTTTCTCTACTATATTATGCATGTATTATACATAAAAACCTTCCTCTTGAATCACTCTATCTATTAAAAAAACCGCATCAAAATCCGCTGCGTAGTTTAAAAGATCTAAGGATACATATCAACATAGGGACAAAGGGACAGACAGCGGGAAGCGACTTTGCTTTATACTATTTAGTGATTACCTACACTTTTTCACAGTTCATGCCTATATAATTATGGTATTTTATTTGTGATTAAGTTTTAGTTCGCTTTTATATTTTATTTACAGTTCAGACAACATTATAATACCAAATATGTTGGTAGTGAATCACATTCTCATACTCAGATCTGTATGGGCCTAAGTATTTATTCGGAATATAAGTGACAAGTAGAGAGTCTAGCGTAAACAATAATTTAAAACCACGGCGCGGCGTCTCAAAATAAAATTATTATGACAAACATAGAGTATGGGAACTACACTTAATGTTTTATATTCTATAAAAAATATATGAGATGAATCCAGAGGATTTTAATGTTTTGAAAATGCTTTCACTTTTAAAGAGCTAAGTAGTAATCAGTTAAAAAAAGTGAATTCAAAAGCCAATCCCAGAGAATGAAAAGCTATGTGGCAGTTGTTAACGACCGTACCGTTGTGATTGTAATTCGAATGCATTCCATCCACAGAGTGCGTTTTTATAGCTATTGCAGAAAGCTAAGAACATAAAGTTAAGACCATTAGTTACAAAACCACTTACGGGCTCCTGAATAAATTAGCACCCGCCGCTGCCGCGCCGCTCCGCCTACTCAACGAGTCTGTATCGCCCACGCTAACGCCATCGCCATTATGATTATATTGGTATTCCATTTTGGAAATACTCATTAGAATGTAAATTAAGCTTCAACGAAATCAAATTGGAATTCCATAATTATATCATTGAACAGTAAACGTGTATATCGCAATACAAAATGGGTATGATTTAGGATATTGGGACTCTTGCAAACTCATCCGCATGGACTAACTTGTAAAATCTTACTTCAATAGACACGGCGTAAATATACATACGCTTTTTCGCTAAGAAGTGTTTTTTGTATACCCAATGCAATAAATTGCTCGAAAATTGTCCATGAATATATTAAAGATAAACTAACATTAAATGAAAATAGTTTTAACGGGTTAATGCACTGACGATGAAGATCCGAAAAGGCTGCGTAAATAAATTTCGTGAATTAACCCGTTAAAACTAATTTTATTTAATGAGTGATTTACGTGAAAATCTAAGAAACAAATATAAACTAATATTTTGTAATAAAAGGAAAAAACAAGAAAGTTAAGAAGTGTTATGAGAATGATAAATATTGTTGTAGCCATTACTAATTGCCGCTCGCAAGAAATTTGCGGCCGGGTAACAAAAAGCCTAACTTTTCTGTAACGATGAAAAAGTGTTTTTTCATTACATAAAATGATAGATTTGAGGTCGTACTTACTATGGGTCTTTAGCACGACTCGTTTGCTTTTGTGAAATCACTGTCATCTTATCTTGGACAATCATTCGTCCAAGCGTTGTAATAAATAGCTTACTATCATCACTATTACTATATACGAACGACCTATTGGTTTTTCTGTCCTTTTGGTTATCTGCAAATGCAAATTATTTAATATCCAGGAAGTTTCCAATTTGCCACTTTTATTATTTTAAATATATTTATTCTGATTTTGAATTTTGATCAACTGATCAACGGAACGGAAAAACTGTTGAGGCTGCACTAACAAGCGTTAAACGCTCAGCATTGCCCGATCACTTGCATCTTTGACTGCCTATCAACATAAAAACTTGTTAATTATGGTGCTTATAAAATAAAACTAGTTTTAACGGGTTAATGCACGAACTTTATTTATTTATTGAAAGCCTCTCTGAGTTTGTTTCGATGGTTCTTCTCAGAAAGGTCTCCCAATTTTGGAACCGGTGGTAGTTTACGGTAGTTAGGGTCAAATAAATAAACTCAAAATTACAAAAAAGAATTTTAAATAAAGCACTTTATTAACTAAATAACTAATAAATTCATACATACAATATAGTCATAACAATAAAGTTTTAAAAATCTTCCAATGAAATATCCGAACGCTCAATAAAAATCTTTCGAAGGTAGCTAGCTCGACAAAGTAAATAAAAAACATTATTCTGACGATGCAGATCTGAAAAGGCTGTGAAACGTCAATAAATAAATAAAGTTCGTGCATTAACCCGTTAAAACTAGTTTTATTTAATGAGTGATGTGCGTGAAAACCTCAGAAACAAATATGGTGCTTATATTTTACCGTGTTACTCCAAATGACTTAGACAACGTCTAAAATAATGTATTACAGTTAGGAATTTAGATTTGAACAGTTTACAATAGCATAACTGTATTTAATGGTTTTAAGTTTATATCTTTTGAAACATAAATTCTCTTGGAACCATTCGACTGAAAGTTGAAATCACCACCGGAAACTTGCGGTAAAGTATTTGTACCGTGGTAAAGTACGTAGTAAGTAATAACGTGGGACGTACCTATAATGAAATTCAGTTTCTCCAAACTTTACCCATGTAAACAGAATGTTTTGTGGATAAGCGATATTGAAAGTTGGTACAGAGGTGGTTATATATATTTATGTTTCATTAACGGGTTCTGATTTCAAAGAATACGGCCCAGTGTTTAGGTCAGGATTAAGAAAGGTGAGCAAAATATTTGGAACATAATTAAGGCACATTACCGTGGTTTAGGTATCTTTCTACAGAGTAAATCCGGTTCTTGACTAATAATTTACTTATTTAAACCTAAATTCAATTGCTGTCAAATCAGCAGGTCCTATAATAAACTAGAAAAATCGAATCGAATCTGTACATCAAGGATAGCGTAGGTTTATAGCAATAGAATTGCGTTACAGCTATTGAAGTACGCAACCCTAAAAACGAGAAGGAGGCAAATTTTTATTTTAATATTTAATGGTAGACTGTTTAAAGAAACAATTAAATATTGAGGGCATAATGAGAATAGTCGCTGTCACAGGTTACAGTAATTTATTTTCCTTTTATGAATTAATTGAAATTTAATCTGAATTTTTCCACACGCAAGTTAACAAATTCTCCTAGGATCCGTCAGAACTCTTGAAGTTAAAAATTTCGAGAACTAAATTGCTTTGACATTGAAATCGTTTGGGACTTATTTTTTGTAATAATTTCGATCATACAAATTTCGACCATACAATTTTCGTTGAGAACTGAGCACCTAATTTAATTTATCATTAGTTTGCCTTTCGTTAATGCTTTCATTAATATAAAATATTATGAATTTTAAAGTAATTCGTTCTATTTCATCAGTTATAAGTATTTATTTTTGTCTTATTATTATCACGATCTAAATGCGAAAATAAATTGATATTTCAAAGTTTGCAATAGAATTCCATTCACATAAATACTTATTTTCTCCACCTAAATATCAAATATATAAAAATTACATACTAAAGACTTCATTATTATTTTGTTGGCATTTATTTCCTTAGCGTGCATTATTGCTCCTGAAGAAACTCTTACCGAGCTAAATAAAAAAATCTGAGTTGATCCAGCGCCTGTACTCCTACCCCCTTATGAACAAACCAAGAATAAGCTTGGATAAGTTACTCTATGTTTTACTTTTGTTCATAGTCCTACTCTATTAAACATAGTTTTTAATGCCAAAAGATCCGATGAAGTGCAGACCAAATATATTTATTTGGTCTGCACTTCATCTCACCATTTCAGCGTGAATTAATAAGAAATATAAAACCAATCAATATTATTTATAATATAAGTACGTAGCTTTCGGCAGGGATCGATAAGTAGGTGTATAAATTTAATTTATTTCGTAAGTTACTTAATTTGTGCCCGGAGCCAGGTGCTTAACGTTTAGTACCTACTTACATTTCCATTCCTTAATCAAACCAAAAGATACTCTTAGTCGATAGCTTACTTTTATGGGTTTCATTTCAATTATGTAAGAGCGGTAATAATACTTACTTCTGTCTGTGTTACGCATCCTCTTTCGTTGTGTTATGACATTAAATGATTTGTTCTGTCC